ACAGAGGAGTTCTGCAACTGTTAGACAGAAATTCTCGAGCGCTTTCCATTGTTGCATTGTCCATGTGAGAATCGGAAGATTTTGGAAGGTCCTGCAGCGATACCATGGTGTCATGATTGGTCGAGGGAGGGGGTGCAGGGCAGTGCAGGGGAAGCTTTGACGGTGGGCATCTTAGGAAGTCCTAGGCTGCGCACTCCCAGTCCAAATGTTGCAGGCGATCCACTCTTGCTCGCAGGCTGTCCCGTGTTCGGTGTAAACTGTGGCAGCGGCGCCCCTGCCAGAACTCCAGGAGGCATAGGTGGAGGGGGACGGGAGGGAACAAACCTGACGAAGCTGCACCGGTGGGGTGAAGTGCCACCCAACAATCCAACGGGAGGAGGGATCACTCTTGGTACATGCGTGTGCCCGTGCTCGGGGGCGCAGTACTTGTGCGGGAGGTGGAGGTGGCTGACTCATCGAACCTGCAACCTGCAGGGCCGGGGATGTGGTTGCTGCACTTGGAGCCGTCGGAGGGGGAGGAGGCACAGGCAATGAAAGATCAACTCCATTTGGACCCAACTGCGATCGTTGAGTTCCCGTATGCGCAGACTGCTGCTTGGAATCATCCTGTGGCTGCTGGGGAGCGTCGGTCTGAGCCGGTTGTTTCCAGCTCCAATCTTTGGGTCTCCATGCGTTCTTACTCCATGACGACTGGTCCCAGGCCGCCTGCCAAGGATCATCCTGTCTATAATCATCCTTCTTACACATGTCCTTCTTGTAATCTTCACGCTTCTCCTTAGTGTTCCATGATGACTTGTCCCGCTTCCATGACCTGTTGTCATCCCAACTAGAACCCTGCCACCACAAAAAACGAGGACTGCCATTTGTCCCATTTATCGTCCTGAGCTGCGCTCTACTGGACGGGGGCGCCCCGTCACCTGACGAAGCTGCAGCAGGAGCTGAGACAGGATTGGCAGTAGAGGCTGGGGCCGGATTACCGATCCCTCCGGACGCTAATGCGGCCGCCGGAACTGCATCTACTGTTCCTGTTGCTGCAGAACCTGGCGAGGCTGCTGGGGAGGGCATGGGAGCAGGTTGATTTGTAGACATCGGCGGCAACTGTTGTTGCTGCTGCAAAATAATCTGCTGCAACTAGCTAACTTGTTGCTGTAACCCAGCGATCACCGGCTCCGCGCTGGGTGGTCCCATACCACTTCCTGATCTCTTTCTCTCCCTACGTTGGAGGCGTCGTCGAAGCTCCTCCGTATCTGACTCAGTAGAAGGAGAGCGGCGTCTTTGACGTCTCTCCGGTTCTCTGTCTCTGGTAGGATAGTTCGAGGTAGGAGGCAAAGATGGCATACTGAAGGAGTGCGGAGCAGGGTGTCCAGAGGAGGGGTACCCAGGCCACATGTTAGCAGGCTCTGCGCACTACTATCAAGGTTAAACTTTGCACTTGAAGTGAAAGCTTCGGATTGATACAATCAATAGCAAAATGTTTTTTCCATGCTCTCCTGACAAGGCTGCGTGTTACGTACTTTTCCTGATAAAGCTGTGTAAAGCGTGGATTCCTGACAGAACTGCCGACTCCTGACAAAGACGAGAAACATGCGGGGGGCACTCACTGGGAAAGAAATGCTCTGTACGTGTCTGCAGCTGTCAACCTGACAAAGATGCGAAGAGTTGCAATGTCCGCTATGCATGTCTGCAACTGCCAACCTGACGAAGGTGCGAAGTGCTGCAAGCAAGCTGCGATGCTACTGCAAATCTGGCAAAGGTATAAAGACATGATTGCTTGGAATATACGAAGCGCAATTGTAAGATTGTCTAACCCACAACCAAGCCTGTGAGATGAGGAACTGCGTCTGCGTTGCACCAATGACGTTATCCAGGCCTCAATCCCGTCTCTCAAGCGGTGGAGTTCTTATTGGCTCAAAAGCCGTCTGTACTTGGCACATCGGCCACCACCGGCGCTACGGTCCTGCTTAATGCTGATGTTGCCTTGACCACCTCGTCTAGATTTCTCGAGTGATTGCTATCGGAGCGCATCTTGGCTTCGGGCCACTCGCTCCTTCCCCCTCGTTGTGTCGGACAACGAGCCAACCCGAGGCACAAGCGGGCACACGGGTACCCCGTTAGGGGTCACACTGGCATGTCAGAACTCCCCTCGGCGATTGTGCATGTTCAAAGTTCGATGCCATGTACTGTGTGTGCTGCTGTAGTAGACCGGCT